AGCAAGTAATATATAAATTATTATTAGTTAAAAGTCAATCAAGTAAGGAAGAAGAATAGTTTACTTATTTATAAATGTTGATAAGAAGAAAACTAATTTGAAATGGTGGAAGCTGCTAATTGAAACATTGTGGTCTATTTCGGGAAAGCGATTTCATAAAAACAAGGATAACAAGAGGCTGATAACGGAGACATTGAGTGGCGATTAAAACCTTTATTATTTAAACTGTTTTGGATGGGTTGGAGTCAATCAAAGGGGCTATTTGTTGGCTATTTTTTACTCGAGCTTTCAAATTTCTTAACAAAAAACAATTGAATTTGTAAATTAAAATTGAATAGCTACAAACCGCCTAAATGTCATAAATACTAACTTAAAAATTTTTATTTTTGACATATTGTCAAAAATAAAATTTTGGTTGAAAAATTCTTCTTTGTTTAGTAACAAAAAAGAAGAAGATTTATTCACCATTGATAGATGCCCGAAAAAATGTAACAAATACATGGAAAATTCAAAAGGTGATATTTTACTGACTGCGTATATAAATTACATAGAAATAATATAATTATAAATTTTGCTTAGATTTTGAATTTCTGACCTTTTGTTTAAATTATTATCATTTTTGCTCATACAAACCATTTCCAAAAAAGTTCTTTTAAATTTATTACTTTCACTACATAAAATTTTAATATTATCAAAATCAAAATATGTCAAAAATAAAAATTTTTAAGTTAGTATTTATGACATTTAGGCGGTTTGTAGCTATTCAAGTTTTGTTTACAAATTCAATTGTTTTTTGTTAAGAAACTATCAAAATTTTTCAGGGAAACATTTATTAGAATGGGACATTTTTTTATTAATATTTTTTGTAATTATTATGTAAGCAGCAGTTTTATATAACAAACTAATTTTATTTGGTGAGTTAACAAAAATTTTTTTATTTCTAGTTCAACTTTGTAAGATATTTTGTATTTTTTAGAAGCTCTTGATAATAATTGTAATCACAATTGAAAGCTCGAGTAAAAAATAGCCAACAAATAGCCCCTTTTATTGACTCCAACCCATCCAAAACATGTATACATATATATATATATATATATATATATATATATATATATATATATATATATATATATATATATATATATATATATTAGTAATATACGTTTATTCAAATCAATAAGTATTACATTAATTTACAATTTCAATTTCAGTTTACTTAGGTACAGTAACATAAACGTAAAAAAAGTCTTTAAAGCATGAACATGCTTGTTGACTTAATCTGTCTAATATTAACAGGTTTAATGTTTTTTTACAAATTATTTTTTCATTTTGACAGTATCTAGTATAATTTAAATTTATTAAATTGTTACACAACTCCCTTTTTTCTTTTACCCAAGCATTAACTAATTTTTTATACAAATAAAAATTTTTGATATTTTTAAAATTTATGGGCAATTGATTGTATATTCTTGGAGCAAAATATTTAATTGACCGTTGCGTGATTGTTTCTGAAGTGTGAAGACATTCAACATTCAATTTTCTTCTTGTCTCATAATTTGACACTTTTACTTTAAGCGGTATTTAATATTTATGAATATTTTTAAGTATCTCTAAGCAGTACAATTGCCGAACATCAAGAACCTGAGTTTCATGAAAAAGTTGGTCTGAGGGATATGTTTTTTGTTTTCCATATATTAGTTTAAGAAACCATTTCTGAGTATTTTGAAGGGTCACCAGATGGCAATCAGCTACGCCACCCCATCCTAAAATCCCATATACAAGATGAGATTGTACTAAAGACAGGTAAAGCATTTTAAGCTGTTCAACATCTAAAAACTCTTTTAAATAGCGGAATTTTGGTAACAGTCCTCGTATTTTTCTTATAATATTTTTTATTTGTAAGTCCCATTTAAGGTGCCTGTCAATAAAAACTACTAAATATTTTATGTATTCTGCTTTAAATATTTGTTGTTTTTTATTTATTTTTAATGAGTTAAAAGTTGGCAGAGAATTATTGCATATGGCAATATTGCAATATATTGCAAAAGGTATATATTTAGTTTTTTCGTAATTTATTGTGAGTTTATTTATTTGCAACCATGTTTTTATAACTTTGAAGTCTTGTTCAACTATAGTTTTAAGATCTTCCCAATTTTCGGCCTTATAAAAAATTGCGGTGTCATCAGCAAAGCTTATTATGTTTCCATCAGTTTTTAGTTTAAGCATATATAGTATAAGCATATATAATATATATATATATATATATATATATATATATATATATATATATATATATATATATATATATATAGCATAAGCATATATATAATATATATATATATATATATATATATATATATATATATATATATTGCATACTACGCAATTTCCATTTCTATTAAATATTAAAGAGATGTACAAGTAATCCAATTCCCTAAAATACTGTTATTAGAAAATTACATAGTGTAACAAACCAAAATCCCGAAGATGGCGCCTATGGGAAATGCGGGGGATGTAAACCTGCGACTTATTAAAATGTTAAGTGGTGGACGTTAGTATGTTTGTGTTATCTTATACAAAGACGGTATCAGTTTGTTGCTTTTAAAATTTTGTCGTTTAACCATCAATAAGGGCACATCTTTTTACCCATCGTTATAATGTTGTTGTAGAAACCCCAAAATCTGAGAAAAGGTTATGATATATATTTGTCACCCAACTTATGGCAGGAAATTATAATATGGATAAATCAAAATTTTAATGTGTTTTGTGCTTAATGGTAAAAAATTCAGTTTTTCTGCATCGTATTTAGTAACTGGACAAAAGGTTTGTTGAAATAAAGGGATTTGGGAATTATAGTTCGGAGACTTATCCTTCTATATTTTATTGTCGGACAGATTGTTTCCTAAGAAGTAACAAAGTGTTTCGATAATTATATCTGGATTGCTTGTGGTGCATTTTATTAAACAATAAAGTAGCTTTAGCCTAATTACTGGACTACATACTCTTTTATCAGGCCACGGAGTTGGGGTAACTGCATTGTGAAAATGATAACGCGCACCCTATCCTTAATGTTATGGCCTGCTGGGCGAACCATGCAGTATACAGTCCACACCCCGAGATATGAGCAAGAACACAAAGTATATCAATACTCATATGCTGATTAAGTGCACCTGGCGAATCATAACGCCTTTTACATTTTACTCTTTTTCAACTTGTCCTGATTGAAATGTCTTCTTTCCCATTAGCCTCTCTTGGCTAACTCTTGTTTCTTTCGACCCTGAATGGCTTTAAGATGAGTTACTCCGTTCGAGGGCAGGCAGGTCACTATATTTCCTTCTACTATATACTCTAGGAAGGCAACGGAAAATCATCTAGAGCCTATTAAGACGGAAAGAACATTTTGTCTACCACGACGTTTATACCTGGTGTAAAATATTTCAAAAATGTATCTTTCAGCAAATAAAACATTTTACGTAAGGGTGCAAACTTGCTGTCTGTTTTCTCTCAGCTCTGGTGGTTTTATTACCGCTCGGAATCTGCTTTGACTAATCGGGGCAATATACGATGATCTGCCGAATTTTTTAAACCACAAATCGTGATAATCCAAGTTGGTGTCATTCTTAGGCCCCACCAAAATAAAAATACCAAGTAAAGCTAAAATCTTGGTATCACCTGTTTTTGACACGTTTTTACGTTCAATTCCTTTATTACCTGACCAACGACTAAACAGAACAGAAGAGCTAGACAACAACCAAACACGGCAGAGGCAGTTCAACTATTGCAAAATATAATTTCAACGTATCTTGTCATGTGGCATCTTTTTGTGTAGATGTGGGATCTTTTTGTGTAGAAAAGTAACTAGTAATAACAAAAACGATTTTCAAACTTCCAAAGCGAAAGTTTGAAATCTTTACATCTGAATCTAATCTTTACATCTGAAGATTACCAGCAGATATATCTGAATGAGTGGCTTATAACCAAATAGACTTAATATGTGTAAATAAAAGATACAGAAATGCAGTATTACCAGTCAAAACATATCCAATAGCGGACCAAAATATCACAATATTTTGAAAGGAAAAATAAGATACATACACGATGTATTTCATCTGCAAAACAAATTAAAAGAGATTACTGGAAAATAACTATTTCAAAATTTAGCTGATAAAAACGGTCACACAATATTAGATATCAATTAACAGTTAAAATTGGAAAAACTTAATTTCTGAATTATTGAGTAAATATGAGATATGAAATAAAGATGAAAGATGAAAGAGTAAAACACTGTACACCGCTTGCTGTAACAGTTTTATCTTTAACAGAAAGTAAGGTTACGTGGGCAGTACAAACGGCAAAGTAATTATCGGACAATAAATATGATGTCACGTTTTAGAGATCTTCATGCGAGTAATACATAGCAGAAGATACACGATATTAGAGGAGATATTTAGCAATACTCAATTCGGATTTAGGAGTGGCTTGGGTATGAGAGAGGCCTTGTTTAGTATCCAAGTACTGATACAGAGATGTAAAGATATAAATTAAATTGTATATATATATATATATATATATATATATATATATATATATATTCGCTTGCTGATAAAATTAGTGACGTAACTCAAAAATTGCCAATTCTGACTTTACCTATCAGATACTTTCCTAATATTCATCTTGATATTATGCATTATTGACGGAAGTATTATTGTATCATAAACCACTAGATGGGATGATATGTCAGTAATGTTCTGTGACGTTTAGCTCTGCCTCTGCATGTTTTAGTGGCGCAAGTCAGTTTGCGCTAGACATCGACAAGAATAGTGTACAGTAGTGTACTAACTTGGGGCAATATTTTTAAACCTATGAAATATAAATTCTCGTTTTTTGTCACTAGTGCATGATAAACTCATTAATTATTACTAGTACGCCGTTGACTTAAGTATTTATTTATTTGTGTCAACTGTTTAGAAATATTAACTTTGTGCTAATTGGTGCCAAAAATGAGTACAAGAGGAGAGCAGATGCTTTTGGCTAGAGGGATAAAGTGAGTATATGTTTATTATTTCGGATTTTAAAACTTTTATTATTGTAAGTAACAGTTTGGATCACTAAAACTTTTTTGCATACCTACGTCCTACATTATACTTTCACGGTATTTTACTAAATAATTCTTCAGGTTGCAACGCATACAAGGAAATGAACAAGGACCAACTAATTGGATAATTGACGACAGCAATACACTTACCTCCAGTCAGTGACCTCACTCACTGCAAACATCTGATAAAGAAGATATTTCTGATAAAACTTTAGGTAAATCCAACACTTATTTATTTATAACTAAATTAAGAACTAAAAATGCCCCTCTGATACTTAACTAATTAAAGTATTTTTAGGTAATGCACATGGACATATTGCGAACACGATAAACACTGAAAATACATCATTTGTTTCATCAGTATCGTCTACCTGTTCGTCGACATCTTTTACCTGTTCGTCGCCAATTGATGGCAGTGATATTGATCACAATTACACTCCTAGTAATGATGAGTCGGTGTCGGCAGATGATAACGATAAAATTCCGATTAGACAGTCTGCTAGTATGGAATTAATAAATGTTATGGAAGTAAGTCCTAAAATTAAGTCAAGAAATAGAGCTAGAAATCTTGCACATTGGAAAAGAAATACCTGCAAAAGACTGAGAAACACTGATAAGGAATATATAACACTGTCAAAGGGTAAATTAATTTCTGCAAGAAAGGTTCTTCCTCCCTGTAGTACAAGATGTAAGTGTACCACAAAATTTAGTGAAGAAGGGAGATACTCGTTATTTTGACAAGTTTTGACACAGTTTCAAAACAACAAGACGGATTTTTGGAACGTGAGCAGAGGGGTAAAGCACGTAAAACTAAGGTACCCGAAGAAATTAAAAATGGTATGCACGAACACATGTTGTCAATACCTGCAGTAGAGAGTCATTACACAAGAGCGAATACTCAGAAAAAATATATCGATGGAGGCAAGGCACTGACTGATCTGTACCGTGAATATGTTCAGTGGTGTAATGATAACGGAAAGGATCATGGAAAGTTGTCCATTTATAGGTATATCTTTAATTATGAATATAACATGTCATTTCATACTCAAAAGAGGGACTGATGCCTTACATATACAATTTATGAGAACTCTGATATAGAGGGTAAAATGACTTAAAAAATGATTATGAATCTCATATACAAGAAAAGAACTTAAGCAGAGAAGAAAGAAATGCAGTCAAAAGCAATATTGGTAACTTATTTCACATAGCTTGTTTCGATTTACAAGCAGCTCTACCTCTTACCAAAGGTGACGTTTCAGCTTTATATTATGTCTCGTTTTAATTGCTACAATTTCACAATTTGTAGCCTTCAAGATAAAGGACTGGGTCCTGTAGAGTGCTATATTTGGCATGAAGGAGAGGGCAATTGTGGATCTATTGAAATAGGTTCTTGCCTACTTGAATATTTAAGAAAAACGGCAAATTGACTGACTCTGGAAACTTGGAAGTAGTTTTCTTTTACGATAACTGTGGAGTTCAAAGCAAAAATAAATTTGTTGTAACCACTTTTTTGTACGCGGTTACTAATTTCAAAATAAAAAGTATCACCCATAAATTTTTTGAAAAATCTTTATAACTGGCGTTCTGTATTGTGCAATAGAAGTCTGTTATTGCCCACACGTCTAAGAATATTGAAGTGCTAAGTCTAGGCCTATTTGGTCTATGGATATGAAACCTGGACAATAAAAATAAAAAATCTTAATAAATTGTTAGCATTCGAATTGTGGTCTTACCGTCGCATGCTTAGAATCCCGTGGACAGGACACAGATCTAACAAACGTATGACAGAGGCCACACACAAAGAGCGAGAATTGATCAACATCATCAATATAATAAAGGTCCAATACTTCGGTCATAAAATGAGAGGACCTAAATATCGCTTACTCCGGTTGATCATTCAGGGCAAAATCGAAGGAAAACACTGGGTTGGAAAAAAACAACTGTCCTGGCTAAGTAATATTAGATAATGAAAGGTAAGTAATATTAGACATCATCATATAACGGGGGTCCTACGGCGATTGCCGCTTCCCGCATTTCAGCCTCCATCTTTTCCTATCTCTCCAATCTCCCTCTTCTAAGCCTCTAGATTGCATTGCTTTTGTAATTTCTCTTCTCCAGGAATTTGGTGGTCTTCCCCTTTTCCTTCTTTCTGGCGGAACATACATTAAGGCTTACTTTGGCCACCGCTCTTCCTCCATTCTCATCACGTGACCATACCATTGTAATTGCCTTCCTTGTATTCTATCAGAAAGAGTATCTCTAATTCCTGTACGGTTTCGTATTTCCTCATTCCTGATTCTTTCCATTCTCGATACTCGACATGACCTTCTAAGATAATCCATTTCCACAACGTCTACTTTATCTCGTTCACTCTTTGTCATCGTCCAACATTCGGCACCATATGTGGTAATTGGTTCTACAATTGCTCTGTATACGCGAAGTTTGGTATGCATCTTTATTTTATTAGACCGCAGTAATGAATTCAGTATTCGGATGCATTTTTTCCCTTGGGTTATTCGGTTTTGTACATCTATCTTAACTCTGCCATCTGCTGATATGATGCTTCCTAGATATTTATACTGGTTGCAGCCTTTTATGACTGCGTTTTCAAGCCTCAGATCTGTGGTATTTCCTCCAATTTTTAAATATTCTGTTTTGCTTATGTTTACAGTAAGCCCCCATTTGGCATATTCCTCAAATAATTTTCGATTCATATAATTTATATCTTCCTCATCGGTTGCAACCACCACCTGATCATCTGCAAACAGCAATGTATACAGAGTTTCTTGTCCCACTTCGATGCCCATAAATCTACATTTATTTCTCCAATTCCTCAATGCTTCTTGGACGTATATTTTAAAGAGTGTCGGTGACAAACAGCATCCTTGCTTTAGGCCTTTAGTGACTTTAAATTCATTTGAGGTTCTGGTTCCAATTTTTACACAACTAACTGCATTTTCGTACAATTTATATATCGCTCGGATATACGTCGAATCCAATCCGGACCTTTTGAGGACCTCAAACATTTTCTTTAACGGGACACTATCATATGCTTTCTCAAGGTCTATAAATACCAAATGGGTCTCTCTACTTCTTTCGACACGCTTTTCAATTATTTGTCGTAGGATAAATATATTATCAAGGCAGGATCTCCCGGTACGAAAGCCGCTTTGTTCTTCAATATCTTGTATCTGTCTTTCAACCCTCTTCTTTAATATTCTGCCGTACAACCGGTCCACAGAGCTCGTCACACTAATACCTCTATAATTGGAACAGTCTCTTTTATTCCCTCTCTTATATATGGAGCTTATATAAGATTTATTCCAATCTTTAGGAATTTCCTGGTCTCCACACATACATTTATTAAAAAGGTCTACTATTAATTCTAAAAGTGCAGTCGGCCCATATTTAACCAGCTCTATGGGAATGTCTCCAGGCCCTGCAGCTTTTCCGTTTTTAACCTCTTTTAAGGTTTCCGTCAATTCAGATAATGTTATTATAGGGATTTCCTGTCTTTCGTCTCTGTTGTCTATTAATTCCCTTATCTTTTCCCATCTGTACTCTACTCTATCCTCTTTCAGCAGTTTCGTATAATATTCTTCCCATTCATTTAACTTTATGAGAGAAATGTTGTCTTCATTTTTCTCATTTTTCCTAAACTGTTTTAACGTTTTCCAAGTAATATTAGACACATGTTTGAAAACAAGCATGGCACACAAAAAAAAGAAGGTCCCACACAGGGTTGTAAAGACAGAATGATGACGGTGGTAGCTTTTAGGATACTAGTAGGGTCCAATTTTATTTTTATGGAAGATAGTATGCTTCCAATTCGCCCTAGTAAATAAGTGCTTAAAAAATATTATCAATGTCCGTTTGCATTGGCCAGTTTTTAGTCCTTACCTCAAACTAATAGAATATCTATGGCATACACTTGAAAACGAATTCGTTCACGGGTACCTTTTGGTAAAACTCGCTGAACTGAGTGCGGATCTTAAGACACCAGCAAGGTATGCATTGGACCAACATTTAACTAACTCAATTCGGGGTCAGAATATCAGAAATATCAAGATTCGAGAAGAAATAAAAGAAAAAAAAAGACACGGTCAAAACGAAGGCAGTCAGTAGTTATTCCATAATTAAAAAATCTATTAAAAAAGCTTTAAAATCTGGTCCCATTTTCCTACCAGCTCAATACGCAGCAATAATAAGTACTGCCCGGAAAAAAGGAATTACGTTTAAAGTCAATGAAATGGCTGTTAATGAGTTTGTCGAGTTATCCGATTGTACTAATCAGCCATTTAATATAAATACTAAGATGGAAATGTTTAATTTTAATGATATAGTTATGACCAAAGTAGACAAAAATTCCCCGAACCGTTATTTTTACTAAACTTCTTATACCAGCACATAATTTACAGAAGTTATAATTAGAAATAATAAAACAAGGAGCGATGTAACTCATCTACAAAATTATCATCTATCCCCAGCATATTTGGATACTGTTAAAATTAGTAAGAAAAAGTATGATGGCCTGCAAAGCGTTATCTAGAATAAATCTATACCACCTATTTATGCTCCGTTCTTCAATGCATTGAATTATAAGAACACAGAATAATACTTATTCCGTCATAAAATTCTCTTTTATTTCGAATTTATCGGATATTTTTGATTTTAAGCTTTGATTTTGTATACCTCAAAGTTTTTAAATAAAAATTAAATAAAATATATTTGATTTATTTATAACGTTCGACATAACTTGAATAATTTTTATGTAACCAGTTATTTTAGCATGGTTTTAATAAAATACATCCAAATTACTAAATTAATACGTCACTAAATTAGTACCTCACAAAATTGTAAAACTTACTCATACTTTAATGCAATAATGACGTAACTTCCAAAAAAATAGCAAAAAATACCAATTTCAGCAGCTAACAATTGAATTCTGTGAACTGGCAGCTTACCTTGATGAATGAAATCGAAAATACTTCAATAAGTTAGTTGCTACCGAGCAATCAAATATTTTATTTCCGCTAAAACCTTAAACACCGTTTACTACAAACTATAATTTTTGAGTTATGTCACTAATGTTCTCAGCAAGCGATATGTGCAATAGATTTGGAAAAGGCTTTTGACAATGCCCAACAACACAAATTCAAGGAATATTAAAAACAGCTATATTGGACGATAAAGATTTACCAGTAATTAAAAATCTATACTGGCTTTAAGTGGAAAGAATAAAAGTTGAACAAAAACTGTCGGATGAAATAAATATAAAAAGAGGATTGAAACAAGGCTGTATACTACCACCTTTACTCTTTGACTTCTATTCAGAAGATATATTTAAGAAAACCTTAATGCAGACAATAGAAGGCATTATTGTGAACGGTTTAATCGTGAACAATATTAGATATGCTCATGATACCTTTGTGTTGGCTAATTTCGGATATCTTCAAAATTTAATGGACAAAATAAACCAAACCTATGATAAGTATGGATTCAAAATCAACGTTAAGAAAACTAAATATATGATAGCAAACATAATTATATACAAGATGTCGGTATAAAAGTCGAAGATGCCGTACTGGACAGAGAAGAAAAACCCGTGTATCTCGGCAGTAATATCAATGAGAACTAGGATCCAAACATAGAAATTAAAAGTGAATAGAAGCCCGAGCTACTTTCGTAAAAATGAGGATCGTACTTTGCGGCCACGATCTTAGTATCGACCTTCGCGTTCGAATGACATATTGCTATATTTTTTAAGTGCTACTGTATGAAGTGGAAGCGTGAACTCTTAGTGAGGCTATGCTTAAACGTTTGGTAGCCATTGAGATCTTGGTATACATATGAGTACTAAAAACAAGCTGGGTCGACATAATCAGAAATGAGGAGGTCCTTAGACGGCTGAACCAAACAACAGAATTTGTCAATATCATAAAGAGACGCAAGCTGCAATACTTAAGTTAGATTATGAGACACCCTGAAAAATGTGAACTTTTAGATCTGTTCATTCAGGGAAAGATCCAAGATAAACGTAGTCCTGGTAGAAGAAGAACATCATGGCTGAAAAATCGAGGACAATTGTACGAAAAATCGACCAAGTCATTATTTAGATCTGCTCTAAATCAAGTGACTATAGCAAAATATAGTAGCCAACAGAACAAGAAGAAGAATGAGAATACTTTTAATATCTTCAGTATTAATTACTGGACTACACCTGTTTAAACTTCTGTTTTAGTGAAAATCCGAAAGTACTTTGGCGTTGACTCCTTTTAAGGTAATATTAAATACAGTGTTCGCAGAAAGTAAGGTCCTGGAGAAATTTTTCTCAGATATTGACATACTAGAGATTTGGCAAGTACTTTCCAATTTTAGTGCATGCAAAAGTTATCTTATAATTAGCGTTCAACGTCGAATTCTAAAGAATTTTCGAATACATCCGTAGACATAAACAGTAGAGACATGATGAGTCAAAACGTAATGTTAATTAATGAACTATTCCAACTTTTGTGTCGACTTTTGTCGACACTGTCGATACAAAATGCTCCTGCTTCTGCGTCGGTGGAAAGTGGTAATCTTTCGCATTGCCCTTCGGGTTAAGTTGCTAAAAAGAACTCCGATGTAAATGCTTTTATAGGTGCCGTAGAAATTTCTAAAGATTTTGCAATAGTCTCAGGCAAATATACGTTTCGAGGAAACGGTATGCTTTTTAATGATTTTGCTAAACGGTATCAAAGCATTAAATATAAAGTCAAGCCCTCGTATTAGAATACCGGTTATAAGAATATCTCGTTTTAAGGAATGGAAATTTGAGGTTCCGAAACGGTTTCATTTACTCCTTAATAATAAACAATACGTTTATATGAGTAAGTTTTAATAAAATAATACCGCTTACTAAAATATTTTTTAGATAAACGAATAACTTTGTATGTACAATTTTTAAAAAATTTAAATGATTGTCTACTAATAAATGCTTTACCAATATTAAATACTTTATTACTTTGTTATGAGTACCATCTCAATATTTCTTCGAAACATCAACAGATCATAAAGCACTTTTTCATGTCTCCAAGAATTTCGATTGTCCACCCACTTCATTGTCTGTTAATACATTATAGAAACAGTTAATTTAGAACTCACCCAGATACCTACCTATTTGTAAGTGAATCATGACATTATTAAATTCGATGAGAACGGATCTTACTTTAAAAAAAAGCTTGATGTAATAAATATGTGCAACAATTCAAGTGCAGTCAAATCGCAATTGTTAGAAAGTTAGGAATTTCACAAGCTCAGATGAGCAAACTTTTAAAAATCAAGACAGTTTCTTAAAAAATTAACCCAAAAATTATAACGCAGTAGGAAGGATTCAGACATCGAACAGGCATTAGACGAGTGGTTTACTCAGAATGGACCCTAAATGTTCTTCTCAGCGGTCCAGTTTTTAAAGAAAAAGCTGCAGAAATAGCCGAAAATTTGGGTAATACGAACTCCCAAGCGACAAATAAATCGTCCAAAAGTTTCCATTACAATAATTTGTTGGAGAATTCTGTCTAGGGTGTTTCAAATCTGCAACATCATTGCCCGTAAAATACATTTTTAATAAAAATGCTTGTATGACAACAATCCTGTTTAAGGATTTATTGACTTCGACAAGAAAATGATAGAAGAAAATAGAAAAGTTGTGTTATTTGTTGATAACTGGTCTGCCCATAAACCTGACGTAAGGCCGGATAATGTAACAATCCATTTTTTACCCGCCAATACAACTTCACTTATTTAACCAAGGTTTTTTTCGCTTTTAGGAGAAATTAGGGGAAAAAAGTAGTTGTATGGCAAATTATAGTTAATATGGCATATTTCGAAAAATTATATAAAAGAACTTTTTATAAAGTTTGAGTTTTTAAAAGAGGCAGAAACTATATCACGCGTAGCAAATGAGAAAATCTCAAATCTCAACCAAATGACGGACGAAAAATTGTCGACATTTTGGTAACTTTTCAATGTTTGTATAAATTTAAAATAAAATTTTGAATGTATTTTTTTACTGTAACTTATATTAGATATATTTATTTAATGTATTTTATAACATCTCAACATATGCATTTGACATTCTTTGACATCTATATATGACTTTACAATCATTAGAACTGAAGAAGTGCAGAAATACTACACGAAACGTTTTCTATTCTATTTCTATTTTTTCATGTTTTATTTCTCCTTGACCAATATCCTCAGTGACCTAATATTTACAGTGAGATTTTAATCTTACTCACATTGTATATATATATATATATATATATATATATATATATATATATATATATAGAATAGAATAGAATAGAAGAGAATTTATTTAATCAATATACAAAAATAGTTTTGTTTTTGACAAGTCAAAGGAATAGTGACAATACTTATAAAACATATTAAATTATTTTTTGGATAATTTAAACATTACAAACATGTATGTATTTAATATTAACAGTTAAAAAAAAACGACAAACACACTTTGTGGAATTATAAAAAAACATGAAATATAATTATAATAGGCAACTGCCCTGACCAAACTAGTACTATTGTGTAAAAGCTGTACTTAAGTACTCCGTTTTTGAATAGAAACAATGTTTCAAAAAGTGTGATTTGATTTTATGCTTACCTAAATGATAACAAGTGAAGACTTTTTACTTCATCTGGCAAAAAATTATACAAACTAACGTCAGTCGAATTTTTTACGCTCTTTGTCAACCTAAAACGTTGTGCTCTAATACCATCTCTAGATCTTGTATCGTGATCATGGACGTTGGAGTTTACGTTAAACTTACCTTTGGTGGCATGAATTTCAATATATATATATATATATATATATATATATATATATATATTAATATATATATATATATATATATATATATATATATATATATATATATATATATATATATATAGAGTGAAGGTAGTGGCATAATACCTAAATCCAGAAATAAAGGTTTACAGTGTTCCCTATACTCTGCTCTTGCAAGTATCCTCACTACTCTTTTTTGTAATTTAAAAATTCGATCTGCGTAAGAAGAATTACCCCAAACAGTTATTCCGTACTGTAAATGGCTATGAAATAGTGCAAAGTAGGACATTCTAAGGGTATTTTTAGGAATCATATAAACTAAGTTGCGTATTAAAAATATACTTGTAGCAAGTCTAGAACTTAAGTAATATATATGAGCACTACAATCCAAATTATCATCTATAAAGATTCCTAATAGTTTAACACTATTTCTTAAGATATACTTCCAATCAGAACTAAAAATCAAATTCTGATTTTTCTCTTCATTTAGCTTTAGCCCATTATGTGAGAACCAGTTTTTTGCTTTCTTGGTATCACTATCTATTTTAATATTTAAATTATTCTGATTAATATCAGTATTTATGAGAGTTGTATCATCTGCGAAGCAAACACATTTTATAGGAAAAGTGTAGTGAAATAAATCGTTCAGATAAATAAGAAACAAAGTGGGTCCTAATATCAAAACTTGAGGTACACCATATTCGACAGTGTTAAACTCAGAATAGCTGTTATTAAGAAAAACTGCCTGTTTTCTATTTGTTAGGTATGATATAAATAGATTAAGAGTGTTCCCGAAAATGGGAATGATTGAGATGGGACGGTAATTTCCAATTTCATCTAAAGCTCCCTTTTTGAACACTGGTAGCACTTTTGTTACTTTTAAAACATCTGGGAAAATCCCCTCAGTAAGACAATTAGTATAAAGTATAATTAATTTGTCAATAATAATATCGATTGTTTCCACAATTATTTCTTTGTTTAGGAAATAAAAATCCGTGCAGTGTGAATTTTTCAATCTATGCAAAACATTCCTGATTTCAGTATCACTAACAGGTAATAAAAATAAAGATTTGCAAGGAGAGTGTACATCTTTCAAAAAATCTATGGCTACATTTTCATTTGTAGAATTAAAAGAACTTCTAATATGTTTAGCCACTGAAGTAAAGTAATTATTGAAATCGTTTGATGTAATAGCGCTTGGACAGACTTTTTTATTTTGAAATTTATTTCTGTAATAATTTATAACTTTCCAACTATCACGAGATATATTTTCAGAATTGGAAAAAAAAATTTCATAAGCCAGTTTTTTCTTTTTGATATTGTTGATTTATAGTGCTTCTTAAATTTTTTATACTCACTATATTCCTTTGTAACATCAGCAATTATCTTGACTGTGGAAAGATTTTTTCGCATTTCTATTAGTTCATCATCAAACCAAGAAATTGGAGCTTTACTATGAGTTCGTGATTTTTTTAATGGAAAATAAATTTCAGTTAACTTAACATACATTTCGGTAATAAATTGAGCTAATTCTGTTGCTGTTTTGAGAGAAACAACTGAAGCCCAGTCAACGTTGTTTAACGACTGTTTTAACATCCGGATGCCATTACTTGTTACATGTCTTCTGTATGGATTAGCACTATGTTTTTTTCAGATTTTATTTTTAAGTAGAGAAATTGTGCATGATGATCAGAAATACACGGGTCCACGATTCCACAACCAACTATCTCACTGCTTATGTTTGTTAAGATGTTATCTAAACAAGTTGCAGATCTAGTTGTGATTCCAGTAAATTCATTAATATTTATGGTTAATCCAAAAGTAGAAATTTGATCACGGAAACTGTTTAATCCATTAGAAGCTTTTTTAAAATCAATGTTGAAATCTCCAATTATTATTATTTCTAAAAAATTAGCAGAGCAAAACTCCAATAACTTTTCAAATAGCTCTAGAAAAACTTTAAAATTCCCATTTCCGGTTCTATACAGTGTTACTAAAATAGTTTTAATATCTATAATTTCTAATGCACAAAATTCACCCTCAAATTCACATGATATATCATTTAAGCAAATTGGTCGTGTAGGGATTTTATTATCGCTAAAAATTACAACACCTCCATGTTCCCTTTCCTTCCGACAATAAAAAGTTGACAAAAAATAGCCATCAAGCTTTAATGTTGTTAATTCATTTTCTCTGAGCCAGTGTTCAGAGAAACATAATATATTGTATCTTTTATTTTTCAAAAAAATATTAAGCTGATCTATTTTGTTTAATAAACTTTGTGTGTTTACATGTAAAATATTAACTAGACTAATCTGGTCAGAGTTTGCTAAAGTTTTTGGTTTAATATAAGATACAACACTTTCACTTCTGTCTTTTTCGGTTGATGTATCTAGAAGATTTATCGCCGGAATGTTTTCTGCGAAAAAAATATTCACTCACCTTTATGCCCTTCGGCCACGTCTGTGGTTGAAAAAGAATATCCCTCAATTCTGCATCTGCCGTGATTCTGAAGGAATTTGATCCATTTACCTTGTTCGCGTACAAGGTGCACGAGAACTCATGTCCGGGGAAATTTGTTTGTAGATATGTTTCCAATTTTTCTGTACTATAAGATTGTTTATACTTTGCGGCAAAAATCCACACTTTGTCTTTTGATGCTAGCTCCTCACTATCGCTGTTATTACCCACAACTTTTACATCTGATCGAATAGGTTGATTGACATTTTGAGTAAGACTGTTGATATCATTCATTTTCAAACTTTGTTGTGCCTCCGTTAAAGCGCTTGAGAATTGCTGATTTGTAATTGTTATATTTTCACGTGTCTCTTGTATACCTTTGATTTTCTTTCCATCATTTTTAGTGACGGAATTTGGAGGAAGACCGGCAACACCGCTTTGTTTGTTTGTATTTGGCATATGTTTAACCTCCAAATTTGCTGGGTTTTGTAGCAAGTTTATAATATAATCCTGATTACTAATCGTTCGTTCAAGCTCTCTGATAATACGTTTTGAAGCATCTAATTGAATGTTTGCGATTTTAAGATCGTATTTTAATGTTAAATGACTTACCGCTTCGGCATGGTCAGCTACAGAATTATCAGGTATTTCAGTAGTTGCGTCAAGAAACTTGGTACTTTCATCACTTTCCTCGTACTTTACCACTTTATCACTTGTCTTTATGTCTAGAGGCACTTTCTTTTCAATTATTATCCTAATTAAATCACTTTTGTTTAATTTATTTAATTCTTTTTTTGACTTCTTCAATTGCTGCCATGTTGCCTTTTTATTTTTTATATATATATATATATATATATATATATATATATATATATATATATATATACATACCTTACTCACTGTTACATTTCAAAATATATTATGTATCTGAAGTTTTAATTGTACAAGTATTTTCGTATTTAAATGAAGATTCTAGATTTTTCTCGTTGATCTGCTGGATTTTAAATCATTCATTTTCTTCAAGAGGTTGTCGATACTACTCCAGTTCTTGTTCCAATTCTGTTTCATGATTTACTATTTACTACTAAATATCAAAAACACTGTTTTTTCTTCAAACTTTCGTTTTATCTTATCCAACACTAACGGTAATAGTTAACGCAATTACAATCCACTTGATACGTAAAATAAATGTTGTCTTTCTATGTTTTTTTATTGTATGTATTTGTCCTAAAACTAATTGTTACTTGGACCAAATAAAGATAAAAGTAAATAAGAAGAAAAGGGAGAAGAATACGATAAAAACAAAAGAAATGTAACTCAACATGTTAGAGAAAATTGCAAAGAAACTAAAACCGTAAGTAAAAAGTGAAAAATAATGCAGGGAAGAGATAAAATAAATGCACAAAAATAGGAAAAAATCTAGTAGAAAAAATACGGTTTTTGAATAGATAAATGCGAGTTTATGTTATATTTCATTTAAT